TTTTTTACGACCCCCCCCCTTCAGGTGGGGATTTGATACGACCCCCCTTGTATGTGACACTTGTGTAGAGACAGTGTTTACCATCAATATTTATTTCTACGTAAGTCATCAAAGATGAAACTTTAGCAAAATCCACGACAGATATTCATCGCTGCTTCCAAACACGAAAAAATGAGATGCATTCAAAGATATCCTTCGCACGTATCACGAAGGGCCGCTTACCAAACTAGGAGATGAAATAACTGAACCAGTGACCGGAATATTGACAATATTACCTGATAAAAACTTATGAGAAGTCAGAAAAAATTATCGCTCCAATTGAAATACTGAAATCCTTCACGTTCTTCAATTGCAACACAATTTTTACACCCCTCTTTCTAAGGCTATAACTTCCTTCATATTCGAGCTTCTGCGCCGAAGTGATTTGAATTGGAAAATTTTCTCTCTTAAGCATGGGTTGACTCTGTTTCTAAAGTTAGAACTTTATTAAATGTATTACGGTTGTACTTTTTTCTGTGGCAATGCGACTCTTACTTCAAAAACAATCGTATACTTTGTCAAAAGTCCATTCATTTGGGAGCTGGAACAGGCGCGCGTGACAACTCCGGATCAAGCTTTCTAACGGCACCAAGCGTTCCTCAAGTCGCAGTTTCCTGAAAGTTCAGTTCAAAAATTAGTCCCGTTGTTACTTTTTTGAGGGGTATTCTTCAAGCCATTTTCCCGAAAACGCGGGTTTTCTTAGGTTTCACTGCCCGTAACTTCTTGGAAGACCAATGTAATTAACTTAGGATGTGCTAGAAAGCTCCGAGCATGCGCTTGCACTACATCCCTTGCCTTGGTGCGCGCCACGCCTCGGGCGCCCTTCTAATTCGCTGATTCATTTGAAAGCTCATTTAGAGGGAATCGTGGTTTATAGATGCTGTATCAGTCATCTTACGAAAACGTAACGTGCTGGCTATTATCCGATATTACCAAGAATCCCACTGTCGGCCACCGAGAGGGTACGACCCCCCTCCAAGCTCAACTGAGTACGACCCTCCCCCCGTTGTTACTTGCGTAACAACGTAGGGTTGGACCTGGTGGTGCGTGACTGGCATAACGTGTGAAATAAGCTGCGTTGATTGCCGTGTCAACCGATAGAACAACTGACATCTTCAGAAAACTATCTTGTTGTAGTGCTCATTACAAGCCGAGCTTCCTTACACTGGCCAGTTGAAGGGATAGGGGTTTTGTTTTGTCGACGGTTCTCCTCAGTATTTTCCTCTCAGCTCGTTCGTTCCTCTTTCGCTATTATGGCTCGTTTTCAATAGCTCCCCTTATTTGAGCCGACTTTTGCCTTTAACGTGCACGTCATTTCGGCTGACATGCCTACCAATTTGTGATATCCTGTATTTATGATCATCCGAAAAGTGAGTTTTATCCGAAAAGCACCAGGAACAACACAATCAACAATCCAATCTCGCAGGTCCTTCGAGTTAGTTCCTACCAAGGGGCATTATCTTTGACATCCGGCTTTCGCAAGACGACACCGTGTAATAATTTCGCCAGTGGATTTTTAAGTGATTCTCGGAAAAATTTCGACAGAACGTGAAAAAGATGAGCGCATCATTACTACGACATTCTCCAAAAAAAAACTAGTTCCACCAGTTTTTCAACCCGCAAAGCCAAGGTACCATAAATTACCGTAGCCGCATCAATGCCAAGCAATCATATATTACTTGTTCCGTTAAAATTCCTAAAAACACTCCAATGCGAACAACACTACTAAATACATTTACTCATACGAAACGTATACAACACCACGATTTGAGACCCGCAGCGAGAATTTATCGAGAAACAGAGTAAGAAAGAGAGTGACCCTAACTTTGATCTATTTCATTCTATGAGATTAAGCTTTATGACGAGAATTTGGTCTGGGCTATCACAGTGGAATGACCAGACATTCAAAGCAGCATCACTGGGCATGAGAAGCGGTAATGAAGAGAAGAATAAAAGATCGAGGCTCATTCTAGCATTCAAAAGAGGCATTCAAAGCTCGAGATGATGTATACGCAATGAGTCGCCGACAGCTAACACTAGTGCTGAACTGCCGGCTCGGCCGCCCCAAGCAGAAGAGTAGACGACTCGCGGAAAGTCAGTTCGGTCGTCAACAGGCCGTGGACAGGGAACAGCACACAGCAAGTCGCCGGACGCCAATGACCATCCACGCGTACAGCCATCACTGCCAACTAAAAATACTCGATGTTAGAAGAGAACAGTCAACATTCTAGATTTTTTAGAGGTTGATTTGTAAAATTGTGAACATAGCTTAAAATAATTGTGTATTTCGCATACTTTATTCCATTGTAGCAACTTCACATTTTCAGTCGAATTCGGGCAATAAAATTACAAGAGTAACGCTCAAAAATATGAAACAGCATGAGACTTAAAAAATTCGTCCCAAAACAGTCAGAAGATTCAAAAGCCTCCGAAACTTTTCAGAATTTATTTTTCTTTAAATATTCGGTGTTTAGAACCTACTTGAGCATAAAATAATATTGGGTTAGTGTAGTGAGATAATGAACGAAGTATATAGGCACTTGCCCCCGTAATACGGACCTACTCTCCAGAAAGAAATAGGGATCTCTCATTTCTCCCACTGTAAGTTGCGTGAGAAACCCCGACTCTCTCTTCGGACACTTATGATTGTATAGAACTAACCAGCAAAGACAAAATTCTCTTGGCAATCGACAGTGCATGGAAGACGGAAGTGAGTGTTCCTGTGACCGCTGAATGACATTAGTTCCCGATCACATCGACGTGAGTCATACAACTTTAACTGGAAATATTATGCTTACAGAAAATCACCCCAAAACTGCTTATGCTTGGCCTGGTTCAAGGCTTTTCTCATGTCATACCTCTCCTCGGAAATTTTCTATGAGGACGCACTGAGGGTACGATGAGCGCAGTTGGCGAATCCAACCACTTGAGCGAGAACCTGAACATTGAAAACATTAACAGAAATATCAGCCCTGCAAATTTTCGAAGTTCTGAAATTTGGAGACTATGTATTTTATGAAATCTCTATCTTAATATTACAGCTGTGAGATCGACACACAAATAAAGAAAAGTTTCAAATTAAAGACCACCAAAGAAACATAACGAAAGAAATATGAGTTACCATTGCATAGCTACTTATTTAAATATCAACGAGGCAAAGTTGAAACACTGAAATGTGGCTGCGGTGTGGTAAAAGGCTATGAAAGGAATCAGGCCTATGAGGCGAGTGTAGCACTTAATAACACACGGTTTTGAGGGCTTACAGAGAAAAATATTCAGCTGCTCATGGAACTCACATTTGATTGATATTAATTGCAACCACAGATCAATTGTAGAGAAATAAAAGCTAGCGACCAGCAACTGGAAAAATCTCACAGATCCTGACTGTAGCAGGTTTGGCAGCGGTTAGGAATTAGGCTGGTTAATATGTATGCGACGTAAAACGATACAATATTCGAGGTACAAGAATATTCGACGTACAGTGGCAAGTTCAACGTGAATGTTACTTATCTCACTCATGATTACCATTTACTTCAATTCGGTAAAATTCACACAGTTGCCCGTAATTCAAAAGAGAGCAAAAAAACGAGAAACTTCATTTAAAAAAATCGCATGCGACCAAATATTGTCAGTAAGCCGATGTCAGACTTTGCGAATTCGCGCGATTCGCTAGCGTCCGCGGTCGCGTTGCGGTACCAGCCAATTGAGTGATTCACTGGCCGCGACGCGACCGCAGACGCTAGCGAATCGCGCGATTCGCAAAGTCTGACATCGGCCTAAAACAGATACGTTTAGGTTTGAGTGGATTCACGAGGCTACGGTGCAGGCTGATACTAGTTATAGCAAAATTCATTCTCTAGCAAGTATCATATGGAAATATAGTCTCCACATTCAAAATTCAATTGCAGCCCGCTTTGCAACTCCAATTTTTTGACCATTAACAAAATTGTAGTTTCCTCAAACTCAATTAAAGAAAACCGAAAACAACAATATTACAAAATACCTTTCAGTGATCCTGTCACATGATGACTTTTCATTCGGAGATCGGAGAGGATTACATCGCTATCTCTTAAGCCCATGTATATCAAATTACCATCCTGAACTTGATCTAACATAATTCAACGATAACACCATGTTTGGCGAAGGAAAAGGTGAAAGAAAAAAAAGCATTCGATAAAAAGTAACAAGTGTGAAAGATAGGCATAAAATGCACACTTCATTGTCGCATCGAAATGCCTCATGAAGAAAATCACAATAAGCCTGGATTCAAAAAAAGAGGAGAAAAACAAGTGACTCACGGGAGCAAAATGTTGGCTAATCACATTTCGACGACGGCTTGATATTGTAAATGACTTCTCAGTGATCACATCGGTAATCTTTGCAGACTCTTCCATACCTTATACAGCGATATTAAACTGTAAAAATGCTATCATATTTAGTGCGACTAACCTAGAGCTATACGTGTTTTGTTAGAGTTCCATGCACAACTGTAGATCGCCGATGACTCTACGGACCACTGAATGTTGTAGATGGGAGAATTTCGAACTTCAAAATCATCATCATCCGTACATAATGCAGACATCGGTTGTAAAACTACATTGCACATCGACGAAATTCCTTGTCCCGTAACCCTGAACGTAACTTTTTAAGGATGTGTTCTCAATCCAATATCTGAAAACTACCACTGAATTAACTTGGTCTTCACGAGTAAATGGGATCCGATTCCCATTACGTACAAGGCAAATGTTTTGCAAGAATTCTAGACACCACTCTGGCTAAAGCTCGGTTGAAATAACAAAACGGGATTGCGATGGACGTAAAGCAGGAGCTAGAGCATTTTGCGTAAAATGTTGCACATTCAAAACGGACACCATATCCATCATGAAGGCGGTTCTTTTATCAAAAATCACCTTGACTCTGCTGTGACATATAAAACACAAGTCACATCGGAATCAACAGGAGCCACTGCCATGTCCACGAGAACTGGTTGAGCCACATCTACGGTCTCTCCATCCAAAATAAACTCCAGCCCTGAACATCTATGAACTGCAGTGCAAATCAAAGAAATTCAAGACGTACAACATACCAAGGGTATTACATGAAGTGCCATTGTTACGAGGAATATACCCATCCAAGCTCGCGGCAGCTTTCCTGAAACGTCAAAACAATGGCAACTTGGAAGTGAAGGGAAAAAGAAGATCTTAAACCAACCTCGCTAAATTATCGTCAAAACGCACACACTTAGGCACGCGAACTTTGCTGCCTTTCTGCTGTTTCTGAACCATCTCCAATAGCCCAGCAACCAAGCACTTTAGAGTCATCGCAGTTACCCACGAGCTCCAGGAACTGACATCCTTTAACGTGCTCGCCTGATGAACCCAATGATGTCTGAATAGAAGAATAGAACAACAATCAAATCGGCACCAATAAAAATTAACCCCCAAGTGAACGTACAAAGGTAGTTCTCTATCGAAGATACGGTACAGTATGCAATGTAAAAAGAGCTCAATCTAACAAAAAAAGACAAAAAAGAAGGGGAAGAGCTCTTACAAGATGAGGGTGCAGGGTTGACACTAGAGCAGTACGAAAGCAATTGTAAGTAAAAAGAAACCAGTAGCTCTTCCGTGCTCGTGTTGCTTCGCACCAAAATCACCTACGTTACCGTTAAGTCGCTAAGAAATGTTCTAAAACGAGACCTCTTGGATGGCATTCGGTGTAGAGCCAATTCTTAGCAGACGGCTTTCATACACATTCCTGATCGCGGCGCTGCAACTTCGAGTGGCCCAGGCCACGAAATCTGATACAGTCATGTACTATTGATTTGAAGGCTAGCGACCCGAAAAAGTCAGGTTATATTTCAAAATTACCCCTGAACGTAGCTGATAGCTTGGAATAGTTGACCGCAGACGACTAGAAATACTATCCTGAGAACGACAAGCGGCTAACTGTTCGCACCGCTCTTTTTCTCGTCGACTTCTTGCAATCGCTTTTTGTGTATACGTATTGATCTTGAACAATCTAGTTGATTTTCCGTACATCAGCATGTTACATTTGAGTTTGAGCACAAACAGTTTTCAACAGTATCATTCAAAATGGGAAAAGCTCAAACATGCCAGATGAAAACATTCAAATCGCTGACCACCATATTCTATCTAAATAAGGCAGTCTGAGTAAGGCAGCGGACAACACAAAGGCGCGAATCGCTCAAATGCAAACAAAAAACTATTGCCTATTCTCACTATTTCCCTTCCTAACTTCGAAAAAAAGAAGCGAGAAGTGAAAGTATAGAAACAGAAGTATGAAATAATTTGAGAGCCACGGTCAAACATACCCCACTGTGATCAGGAGCTATCCTGAAATATTCCTAGCAGTCGGATCGAAAACGAAGCCAGGAAAACAAGGATAATTTTCCTCTAGTGGATTCCTCTCCTCAATAACAGCAAATTCGTCGCCGATCGCAATATCTGAACAACAAATGTAATAAGGCCGAATATCTAAACAGAACTGACATTGTGCAACCGCCGTGGTCTCTGACTGGTTCTGCTACGGCGTCCACACCTTCTGCTTTAGCCAACTTCCCTCGCGTACTATTGAAAACATTTTTGTTTTCGGACGCGCAATAGAAGGGTTTTGATTGTTCTGGAAAGAAAATACCTTCGTCATGACGGTGGCAATTTATTTCTGAATAGTTCAAGAAAATCAAACTCAACCACCGGTAATTCCGAAGAACATATATCACAATATCCGATGCCACAAAAATGGACTTGGGAAGCAAGATAGAATTTTGACTACAAAATTACCTGAGTACATGCGATGTGCGTCACCTGCGGTGGCGGTTCTTGTTTGTAGGCCCAACGTCTACGGCCACCATTACCTGAACAAAACTGGCAATTCCTACAGCACTCGAATAGTCAGACATGGATTCCGTCGAAGAAAATGGTTCTAAATTGATTTGACTTCAAATTCCTCACTCCTTTCCCAGTTTCCATTATGTTTCGCCGAGCTAAGACCTCTATTTATTCAAGGTTCCAGATTCAATTAAAAGAGGTTGCAAAAACACATGATGTATGTAATTTGAATTATGCAATGTGCAGATTAGATGGTCACGGTGAGCAGGATTTTCGTAGCAAAATCGCTCAGATATTGAAGTGACAATACTAAAATCAGCGTGTTTTCACAGCTGAAAACATTGATTCCAGACGAGCAACTTCTGGGCCTCATAACTAGGCAGAGCCGCTCATTTCTCCTGAATAAGTCAAGTGTGCCGAACGAAGAAAAAAGGAGCATAGTGCTCTCTGAACAGCTCAGCAGCAAGAGATTGGGAAATTTTCAGCTACTACGAATGAAGTGATGCTTGTATAGCGAGCAGCTACACAAGCATCACTTCATCTCGTATTAGCTGAAATGAGATTTAAGCAGTCACAATGAACAAACCATGGAATGCGTTGTCGTACCTGGAATTTCTGATTTGGAGTTAAAATAAATCAGTTATTTTCGTAGAAGACATAGCGCACACAAACATATAGGCTATAATATATCTAAACTAGGGTTTGTGAATGCAAAAAAGCTTAGGACTAGTGTGCAACGCAAATTCCTGAACTTTGCGTTCAACTTTTCACATTTGATACATCTCACATAGCCCTACTTCATCCCTGTGGATTATTATCAATAGTGAAGCACTTTTAAATGCATTGCAAACAAAAAGTGATGGAGTCACCGAATAAGCTTGGACCAAATTTATGTGTTTATGTTTATGTAATTTATTGAGTTATGCGAGGTGAGTGGGCACTTCGAATTTGAAATTACTTACCCTCCCCAGATATGGTTACCCACTCCGGACTTCTTCCTTTTACAGGGGCTGTCTTTGGTAAAGGAGAAACTCCCTGGTGGAAGGCAATAGTGCTTTCCTCGGAATCCATTTACATAGAAATTGGTGCTCACCGGGTGTGATTCGCAAGGACAGAAAGCGACTTTTTCGCATTTCGCGCGCGAAACTCTACTAGTTACGGGAATCTCAGATCCACCGCGGTTGACGGAACTACTTGAAACAAGACAGATAACAAAGGCCGCGGATTCACTGTTACCGTAATCCGTGTTAGCATTGGTGCGCGCTGCAGCAAGCATTGGCGCGCCTTTTAGGCGACGCATTAGCAGCGAAGAGCCAAAAGATTGGGAAAGTCACAAAGCGGTGGAATAAAGAGTAGACAAAGGAGCACAAAATAGAGCAGAGTTGGCAGCTGAGAGAGGATTAAATAGAAGCTGGTTTATACCTAGCGCCCTACCAGCCCCAGGCAGCCGGTCGCTGTTCAGGAAACATGGAATAAGGAGCATTACGATTATTACTTTTCGTAGTTCTCATAATTTGGTTGTTAATTGCGGTTTAGATCATCATGATTATTGGTTATGCACTCGACGTTGAAACTTAGCGAAAGCTACCCATTAGCAAATTTATCCACGACTAGTCCGATCCGCCCAGTGACTGAAAAACGAAGCAATTTTCGGTACCATTCCACTGCCCCAAATCTCAAAATTTTATTTTTCGTCGGAAGTTTGTTCATAGGGGTAATTCGATGCCCTGATTACGAATACGATATTCATTTTTGACGTTTGGCGCCATTTGGTACTTGTTTTCCTGGTCGCTTGCGCCCTCTCACTGGTTTGATCGCTATCAGGACTAAGCATTTGGCGAGAGGAGGCTCAGAGGTGAGCAAGGTGAGCCACTCTCACTTGTGATCTCACACATTTCATCTCTTACTACACAATGCGCAATTCACCCAACGCGGTGTTCCCCTTCCCAACAAGCTTACCTTGGGCACTAGACCTAAATAAGAGTCCAGGACAGCAGAAAGTATGCGTTAGTCAGCGCCAGTTCTAAAAGCGAATGTAGGTTTACGCCGAATTTAGTGAAACAGACGTCGCGACAAGGTGGCCACAAATGGCGACAAATGGCAGCGCAAAGCGAATACTCGTATCCGATCAACCGCGGACCTAGTGGATTATGTTTTTATTGGTATTCTGAGGGCACACTCGCATTGCCATCTTACAGCATCTTTGCAATTCCAATAAGTGGGAACGAGATAAGTGACTAAAGCTATTTAGCTCCTACGTAAGGCTTAGGCTTATGAAGGAGGTGATAAATAGCCCTTAGTCACTTATTGGTTGACCACTGCTCCCGCGCTGATGCTTGTGTCGCTTAAAGGGCGCGCCAATGCTTGCTACAGCGCGCACCAATGTTAACGCGGATTACGGTAGCAGTGAATCCGCGGCCTTTGTTATCTGTCTTGACTACTTGAACTCAGCCCTTTAAACCGCCTCTGCGCTCTCTCGCGGGTCCCTCTCCTCTCCAAGGCTTAGTCCTAGGGCATTCACCCGTTCTCTAATCGTCTGTGCTCTAGCCATCGCGGCAGGACCATTGAGGAAAAATCAAGTAGTCCGTAAACCCTGATCATCAGTGGACCCAAGGTTCCCGCAGCGAAAAATGTTTCGCGCTGCGGAACGCGAAGAAGTCGCTTTCTGTCCTAGTGAGCCACACCCGTGCTTACCCGCTTTAAAAACAAGCACCGAATACTGCCTACCAAGTCAATTTTCGCACACTTTCTATACTAACATTCCTAACCATAACCAAGCGAATGACTCAAGAAATGAGGGAGAAACACCCACCTCGAACAGCCGTTGATGGAGAAACTCCTATCGCTCCATCCTGAGGATTACAGAACGTTCGTCGTGCGGATGTGTTTCTTGAACGAGGAGGATCTTCTCGCGAAGACGAAGCACTCAGGCCAACTCGTCCTCCACTATTCATCCAATGTAGTTCTCGTATGCTAGGAGATTTCCTCAGATTATTAAGTCGGTCGAGGTCTATCTGGAAAAAAGCGATGACTTTAGTTTCACAGTAGAAAGAAAACGGCTATCTGTGAAAGATTGCAGTTGAATAGATAACAGTCCGATTGTATTAAATCGAGAAATGATGAACGGCTCAATTTTGGACAATGAATATGCTTGGGTTACAAAAACTTGTGCTTATTTCAAAACATGTTTATTCCGAAGTGATGTTAGATTGAACAAGCTTAACAAGGAAAACAAACGAAAGAAATAGCACACAAAATCCTTCCTTCACAGCACAAATCGTTAAACGAATTCTTTGCTTCGTCAGCTGAGGTCATGTGCTTGCTGCGTTGACATTGGAGCGCGACAACATCCTGGACAGGTCCAGTGCCACTGAGATCAGGCGTCTGAGCACAATACTGGCATCAAACTAGCGTCACAATGCCCTTAAATCAGATATATATTTCCTGCTCGTGATCAGCGTTTTGAACTCCTGCGGACCGTGCCGACACTGTTGAGGAAGGAGGCATTGTCGCTGCGTGCGCGGGGCATGTCCGCACTCTTCTGTTCGAAACGAAGTATCCATGGGCCAAGGGAAGGTAGGCAATTCAGAGGCCGGGTGCAGCAAGCCCCAACTCGGGGATGGGTCCCCAAACCTTGCATCTCTGGACACTTCCCCTATTCTTGACCATGAGAGTTGCGTCATCGACCAGAGTAGAGACGCAGAGTTTTGGGGACTGATCCCCGATTTGGTCTTCCTGCACCTGAAGTGGGGAGAGTGGGAGGGGGAGTTACGTGCTACTTGACCTTTCTTCCATGTTCTCTGCCGAGAATGGCTAGATGATTAGAGGACGGCGCCAAGCTCGGATCCAAATCCCAAAAAGGAAGGTGAGAGACCAAGGCTAAGCTCTGAAAGGGAAGTACTTCAGGGTAAGTGAACCAATTACAGTGTGGCAGAAGTCCGAGAGTGTGAGATCACAGTTATGAGCCGCCGTTTATCCGGGAGGGCGCAGGCGGGAGCTTCAAATTGAGGCGGTTTAAAGAACCGAGTTCAAGTAGTCCGAAAACACCCCTGCCTCCTTCTATTAAAGGACGAATTCACGATGAAAAAGCAACCCATTTCAAATTAACCTAGGGATGGTGAGTGGTACACGAAAGAAGGAACCATGAGAAACGGCCCAGAACCCGAGAAATGGGACCCCTTCCTTGCCCGTTGATTTGAGCATTGATGCGACTCTCATCGCTGTGCCCTCTTCAACACTACGCTCTCTCAGCTATCTAATCACTCGCCACGT